GTACGCCTGCATTGCGGGTTGGTATGAGATAGGCCCTCGGCTGCGCGACTTTATATTAAAATCCCGCGCGCGACGCTTTGCCGCCCTAGTGTGTAAAGAGTTATGGGATTACAAAGGGACCGAGAATGTTTGAGATTGCTATAGGCCGCTAACGCCGCGCGATAAAGGGAGGGTACCCCGGGGCCATGATTTTGTTTACTAGGCATGGAACCTTCGGCCTATTCCTTGTCTTTTGCTCTTTGGAGTTTTCATAGTTGGACGTTATAGTCCGTGGTAGCCGTCAAAGTCAAACCCCTTGATGTTCGACCGCCACGACAGCTTAGAGCTGTCTACTCAACCCCTATGCACATGGTGCAGAAGAGGGTGTGGTCTTCAACCGCACATGGCGGTTGTCCAGCGTCGAGAGATTAACCCTCAAGGCGCTTGTCAGCCGACACTTGAGTGTCGAACGCGACCCTCGCGATTAACGGGGACCGCGTGAGTATGGGTACCACATAGTACGCCTTCATTGCGACTGCTTGCGCACGTTTGCATTGCGAGTCGATATGCGATAGTCCTGCGTCCGCACGGTTTTATATTAAGTCTCGCGCGCGACGCTTATCCGATTTTCCGTATCAGGAAGTTATGGGGCGGCTACTGAGGGACACAGAACGTTTTGTCGTGTTGTTTATATTGTGTTGCCTCGTATGTGTGTGTGTGGGTTTTATTTTTGTGTTCGTAAGGTGGTGTGCGCGTGGTGTGTGGGATGCGTCTTAGTCGACCGATGACGAGCCGCGCTTGGGACTTCAGCCCCCCATGATGCCGGTTCGCGTGCGGGTCCGATAGAGGCGTATTACCGCGCGTACCCCCTATGCTACAGCGAACGAGAAACGCCGTCGGCTGGTCCACCTCTGCGATTGCAACTGATTAGCTTTCGTACTGTGGACTGGTAGCTCGGCGGGGATACGCCCACCGAAGGGNATTGCAACTGATTAGCTTTCGTACTGTGGACTGGTAGCTCGGCGGGGATACGCCCACCGAAGGGAGGTGATAGCTCCCGTAAGGTGTAGGTAAGTTGTGCCTCGCGTAGGCCCTATACTGTCGTAGGGGCTCGCGAGAGGTATGGCTGGCGCACTCGGCCGGAGCGGCTTATGGAAACTCCATGTATACTCGCGACGAAGGACTTAAAACCAATTCCTGCGTGACGCGGCCGGGAGGGTCCCGCGCTGCCCTGGTGTGGTGTCGGACCAATGCGCTCGACAGGTGGCGCCGTTGCCGGGAATAACGAAAAGCCTGCCGTTGTCCCTGGTGGAATGACATCCGGGTATGAGAAGTGAATGAGAAAAGGCATAAAGGAATGATGAGAAGGCAAGGAGAAAAATAATGAGTGACTAAGTGTGGATGAGAAAGTTTACCTGCCCGAGTTAGGGGAAAATTAAGAGGGGCGACTGTGCTAGTATTGAGTAAAGTATGTAGTAAGAGTTAGGTAAAAATAGGTGGATTAGACTGGTCAAGGTGTAATATTGAACAAGGGAATGTGCTTGTTTTTCTCTTTTTGGGAAGCTTGAAAAGAAGAGGCAGTCAAGATGCCAGAAACTGGCGGTGCATCGGGTGCTCCCTAGAAGGGCCTGACGCTCGATGACCTCATCGCGGCCATTGACCGGCATGAAAGGAACCCGAGCAATATCCCTAAGGTCGACACGTTCCATTTTTGTGGAGAAAAAGTCTCAGAATGGTTGGAGCGGGTGGAACAAGTTTTGGTCGGGCGGTCGGACGTTGTGAAGTTTCAACGCATCCTTCAGTATGTCCTCCACAGCTACCATCAAGAGGTGAAGAAAGTTATAGATGCGGCCCAAGGTGGCTGGGAAAGGTTCAAGGAGGGGATGCAAAGGAAGTACCGCCTGGGAGATGGATTGCTGACCACTGCGGACCTGGAAGCGATGAACAAGGAGGATTTTACGACGATAGGGGCCTTTGTCCAAGAGTTCAAGAAAAAAGCACGGAAGGTCCATGGGATTTCGGAGGAAGCATAGTGCGTCATCTTCCTGGGGCTACTCACGGCATCGGAGGCCGTCGAGTTGACGAGGCATGAAGGAGGTAGCACCAAGCTCACCTGGGCCACTATTGACAGAGGGGTGGAAGTTGGGTGTTTGGACCAGGTGGAGCAACGTCAGGTACGCCTGCAAAGGCAGAAGAGAAAGGAAAGAGATGCGACCGCTTCTGGGACCCCGGGGGTAACAAGGATTGTTACAGACGTATTGGCACAGTTGGGGTATGCGACAGAGCCAGTGGTGCAAAGGAGGGTAGTGACGGCTGTCCGAGTAAAAGGAAAAGAGCCGGTAGTAGAGGAGGATGTTCAGGAGGAGCTCTGGGAAGAGGAAGAGCCGGTGCCGCAGCACTTGACGAAGGCCCAGCGCAAAGTGCGTAACTTGGCGCAGGGCGGACAGGGATCAGGAAAAGTGCAGGCGCCTCAAGCGGTGGCGGCGGCTCCTCCAAGTGTGGCGGCGCCCTCGTCTAGTGCGGGCCCCTCGCAAGGAGGGGCACCCTCCTACGTACAGTGGCCTTGACCGGTGATCAACGCAATCGTGCCATGGGGTAGCCCGCCGCCAGTAGCCGGACCACAAATGAGTATGCCGCCACCTGTCTACCCCGCAGCCCAGGCCCAGCCTGTGGCCCCGCCGCCGTCACCTGCTCCCAGCACACAGGGAAGCGTGGCTGGAGGTGGGAACCAGGGGCAGGGCAATCAAGGCAACGGAGGGAGGGGTGGAGGAAGGGGGCGAGGCAGGAATGGCGGCGAAAGAGGAGGACAATGGAATGGTCAAGGCCGAGGAAACCAAGGCCGGGGGAATCAAGGCCAGCGGTACCAAGGCCAGGGGGACCAGGGAAGTCAGGGATACGGAAGGCCCCGTTTTGATTGGAGGTCGGCCATCTGCCAGCATTGTGACCAGCAAGGCCACACCATAAGGTTCTGTAACATAAGACGGGAAGACGAGAAAAGCGGGCTGATTTCCTCCACTATGGACGGAAACATTTATGATCAATTTGGGGAGTTCATCGACAGAAGACTCGGGGGAGTAAGGGCGGAAGCTCAACGGAGGGCGGCAGCCGGACCGCTACCTCCCGCCACATTCAGACTATGGCAGGAGAAGAAAGGACCATCGGTGGGGATAGGAGAATTTAGATTATGGCAGGAAGAGGAAGAACCACCGATTGGGGTAGAGGAAGTGGGGAGCGAAGGGGAAGTAACTCAAGGGTCACGAGGTGGAAGCAAGAGGGAAGAGCCTATAATCATCGAGTCGGATGACGAGGACGAGGAAAGAGGGATGGAGTCTCCGTCCGTCTTATTAGGGAAAATAGAGGACTTGTTGGAAAAGTTTGAAAGGTACCAATAGAAGTTGGAGACCCTCTGTGAGGAGGTGAGGGAATGAAAGTCTAGCATCCCTAAGGTGTTCCTGTACGACTCCGGCCCGGAGTCAGCGCCTGGGCGACCCGGAGTAAATGTGATAGGGTCAAGCCCACAGTCGGGGGTGATGGGGGGACCCCTCACCCCGCAGGCCCGGATGGCACAAGCAGCGCGAACGAGTGATTAAGCCAAGGCCAGTACCATCCAAGAGCCTCCGAGGAGGGAGCCCGAACCGGGAAAAAGGAAAGAGACCGTGGACGTGGAGGAGGACGATGATGAAGAGGAAGAAGACGGGAGCCGAGAAGAGGATCAGAGAGCCGCGTAGCGGGCAAGGAAAAATGGGACCAGGGGAGAGGCTGAGCCGGTCATACGTGATGGACCACCCAAAAGGAAGAAGTACGCGGTTCGGTGGAAGAGAGATTTGATGTAGAGAAAGTGATCGACCGGCTGCTGGAAGGGCATAATGACCTCATGGCCCTGAAGGAAATCCTAGCGTCAGCCCCGCGACTCCGCGATGAATTGAAAGAGAGGTTGTCGCGGCGCTTGGTGCCCAACGTCCATCTGGGTACGATCCTGCCCAAGAAGGCAGAGTGGGCGGAGTCGGGTACGAAAATGGACTGGAAGTGTGTAGCCTGCGGCACGGTGAATTTGGTGGTGAAGGGCTCCAAGTGTGCAGCAATAGTGGACACCGGGGCGGAAATGAACATCATCCGGGAGGCGGATGCTATCAGATTCGGGCTAGACATAGACCGATCTGACTGCGGTATTTTGCACGGTGCCAACTGCAAGGCCGTGTTTTGTGGGACAGCCTCGAATGTACTCGTCGAGGTTGGAAAGGTGAAGGCCCGAGCTTGCTTCTTCATCATGCCGGATGTGGACCATGGGATCCTCCTAGGGAGGTCATTTTTGAGTAGAACAGAAGCCGTAATGTTCAACAAGCATGACGGTACTCTGATCCTCCTCCTATGTGACCCTGCCTGCGGGAATTGTGAGATAATTACCTGCAGAAATACAGGACCAAGGAGTATAAGGAACCGGCGTAACCCAGGATCCTTCACGATCGAAGAATCGGAGGGCGAGTGCCGAAGGCTTCGGGCGGAGCCGGAAGGAGAAGAAGAGGTGAAAGCGTTTTCCCTTAGCCTATCGGACGTCGGAAAGGCCATGGATTTGGTGGCCGCACATGAGATGGCGGATCCGGATGCCATCCAGGCCTTGAGGGAGCAAGTTCTAAAATGCCCCAAGGCTGGGAGATTGAAGCTGGTATATCGTCTTCCGGACGGAAGAAGGAACCCCGCGTCCGCGTAGGCGCAATCTGTGAGTCGGCCTTTTTTAGGGGACGGCTCAAGCAGGGTTCCCAAAGGCGGTACTAGACGGTAGACAAGAAGTGCCGCCCGGTTCCCGTCTTCGTTACAGAGGACGAGGAAGCATATTACGAGAGGGAACGAGGGTTGATACGGCGAATGAGGGAGAGTGCTTTAGCAGGACCATGTCGTATCAATGAAGAGAATGAAGGGGAGTTTATTATAGGGGAACCCGACTTCCTATTGCCCCAGGAACGGACATTGATGGTGGAGTTGATGAAAAGGAGGCATCGCGCCTATGTGTTTAGTGACGAGGGCGTGGCAGGCTGGATGTGGAAAAAATACCTATGATCCATATCCACACTGTGCCACACGAGCCTTGGAACATGAGAGGGGCGCGATATCCTAATCCTGACGAGGAGAAGAAGGTGGTGGATTACCTCGACGGCAAGATACGTACGCATGTCACCGATTATTCGAGTGGGCCGTATGCGTCCCCGTGGTTCTGCTTCATCAAACCTAACGGGACGCTGCGGTGGGTGCAAGACTTACAGAGGCTGAATGCGGTAACCATGCGGGATGCTGGAGGACTGCCAAATGCGGATGCTCTGTCAGAATCCTGTGCTGGAAGGCCTATAATCTCACTTGTAGACCTTTACTCAGGATATGATCAGTTTCCAGTCTACCCGCCGGATAGGCCGGTGACGGCTATGCACACGCCACGAGGATTAATCCACATGAACGTGGCCCCACAAGGGTGGACCAACGCGGTAGCAATGGTCCAACGGGCCATGATTCGGACTATGCAGTCAGTTAGCCCCCATATCACACAGCCATACATCGACGATTTGGCGGTGAAGGGGCCGACAATAAAGGAGAGCGACGAGGTCTTGCCAGGGGTAAGGCGCTTTGTTTGGAAGCACATCCAGGACCTCGATAAAGTTCTGAGTCTGCTTGAGGAGCACAACCTCACGGCGAGCGGGGCCAAATCCAGATACTGCATGAAGGAAGCGACTATCTTGGAGTTCGTCTGCAGCGAGAAGGGCCGAAGGCCAGATGTGAAGAAGACGGACAAGATTACTGAGTGGCCAGTTCCGTTCCACTCAATAACTGATGTCAGAAGCTCCCTTGGTACGTGTGGATTTTGGAGGGCCTTCATCAACAACTTTGCCGCTAAGACTGAGCACCTGAGGAAGTTAGTCCGTCAGGATCAGGAATGGGTTTCGAGTGAAGAGCAAGAAGAGGTGGTGGCCAGAATCAAAGAGGAATTTCGAGAGGGAGGGTTGGTGTTAGGAGCGCCAGATTATGATGCCACAGAGACACGACCCTTCATTGTCGAAACAGATGCGGGGCCAACTGCCTTAGGAGGAGTTCTAATTCAGGCAGACATGGAAGGAAAGGAAAGACCCTTGCGATTTGAGAGTCGGACTCTCTGTACGACAGAGAGAAACTACTCTCAGTTCAAAAGGGAGACCCTTGGTGTCCTCCACTGTCTACGGATCTTTCGGAACTACATCTTCGGCAGGAGGTTTATTTTGAGAGTGGACCTGACCGCCCTGGCCTACTCTCTGAGAAATTACGTTCCATCGGATCCGACGGTTGCCAGATGGCTGACGTACATCTGGATGTTTAACTTCGAGTTGGAGCGTATTCCTGGTAGCAAGAACCAGCCGGACGGGATGAGTCGTATCAACTGGGATAACCAGACAGGAGAGGCGGTGGAGAATACGCCCCCAGTTGATGGATTCCTGGATCAGGAGGAAGATGTCCGTCTCCATATCAACAACTGGTCGCCGCGAGTGCCTAGCTGTGTGGGCTATCCTATTTGGCAAGCGTCGAGCGGATATGAAATGAGGCCAGAGCTAGTCCTCAAACCCTTTGAAGAAGAAGATCCTTGGGGAGGTGAGGATGTTCAGTGGATGATGGAGTTGGCGCTGGCAAGTTCGCATAGTCTGGTGGAAGACATAAGAACGATCGAGGAAGGACCAGGCCAGAAAGAACGGCATGAGGATTTGATGGGAGGAATGTATCTCATCGTCAACACGCTATTGCAGGAAAGCCTCGACCAGTCAGGCTCGTTGAACCCGGCAGGGAATGTGGACGAAGTGCCCGAAAGCCAGGACGACGAGTTCGAGGAGGGGGAGATTAAGAAGGCATTTCGCGTAGAAGAATATGATGGGATCTACCTGGAGCTGGGGCTTCTCCTGTCTTGCGAGATGCGGCTAAGGGATGCGAGCGATAGAGCCCAGAGGATGCTGCAGCGCTACGTAGTGCGAGATGGCCATCTTTTCGTAAGAAGAGAAGTGGGGAATCCCAGGAGAGTCGTTTGCGGAAGGAACTGCTAGATTGAGCACTTCATGATGGCATTGCAGGAGGGCATCGAGGGGTACAAGCCACGTATGCCAAGATAAGTAAGCTGTACTACTGGGATGGATGATGGACATGGTCGGGAAATTCTGTCGATCCTGCATACCCTGCCAAGAGAGATCCCGTTTGAGGCAAGGAGAGCCGTTGCATCCAAGGCTAGAGCGAGAGGTAGGGGTTGTAGTGCATCTCGATCTACTTTTCATGCCGCTTGGGGATCAGGGCTATAACTACATCTTCGATGCGCGCGATAACCTGTCTGGCTTCGTAGATGGTCGTGCCATTCGTACCAAGACTGGTTCAGTCTTGGTTAATTGCATCGAAGAGTACTATCTGTTTTATCCTTTCGTCAGGGAGTTCGTAATGGACAGGGGATCGGAAATTACTTGCCAAGAGGTGCAGGAGTTGTTATCAAGGTATGATGTAGTAGCTAACTACACCACGGCCGCGCACCCCCAGGCAAATGCTCCTGTGGAAAGAGGACACAGTACCATTACGAGTCTCCTGGCTAAGTGGACCGAGGGGAGACCTAATCAATGGCCAAGGTACCTAAGGGCGACATTCTTTGTCGAGAACATTACAGTAAAAAGATCCGCCAAGTACACACCTGCGACGTTGTGGTATGGATGGCACGCCACCTTCCCTATTGAAAGCTTTTTCAAGACTTGGAGGCGCCAGGATCTGGAAGTCGACCTATCATTTGAGGAATTGCTCGACATTCGGGCGCGACAGATAGGAGCGATAGAGGAAAGGATCCAGAAGGCGTCCGATCAAGTAGCTAAAAGTCGTATGGATGATAAGACTCGATGCGATCAATCTGCTCGAGTGAGGAAAGTACCTCTGGCAGTTGGGGACGTCGTGCTTCTCTACGATTCATCGCTGGAAAAGCTGTGGTCCAGGAAACTTGATAAGAGGTGGTTAGGTCCCTATCGGATCGTACGGGTCAGAGATTTTGGAGCGTACCAGATTGAGGAGCTAAATGAGACTGAGTGGAAGGATTGGGTATCTGGAATGAGATTGAAGAAATTTGTGGCAAGAGAAGAGGTAAGGGAGATGACCTAACTGCCTTTAGAATAAAAGTAGCAGGGTGTGTAGGTTAGGTAGGATGCATGCTGTAAGAGTGTGGTCTGGTCTGAGCTTGCTTTGATTATCACCTGTTTGCTTACCCCAATGTGTGCCTGTTGTCTCCTTCGCCTGTTGTGCAGGTCTGACTTTACAAAGACAGCCATGCCAAGAGGAGGGAAGGGGACACGGCCGCCTCAGAGGCCGTTGGGAGCATCAGGAGGATATGAGCGGCATGGGCCTCGCCATCGAGAGAGTAATCCGGTGTTCGATGATGGGGACATCGAGCTATTTTTGGACAACTTTTGGGATCATGCGAGGTGTATGGGCTGGACCGTGGCCCAGGCGATTGAGAGGCTGAGGGGAGCAGGCAGGTTCGAGGAGCCCGTCGCGCGGATGCGTAGAGAGGCGACAACGAGATCAGAGGTGGAGTGGAGGATGCAGGAGCTGCGACCCTCGCCTGTGGGACCTGATGGCAGACCGATCTGCCTGGAGATTGGAAATGCGTCGGACTTCATCCCCGCGTTTGAGTGGTTCATGCAGGGGCAGGGTATACCGAGAGATGATTGGATGCAGACGCTACCACTCTGGACCAGGAAGGCGGAAAGGCCACTAGCTAGCCAAGTCAGAAGCATGGCCCGGAACTGGGAGAGTTGCAGAGCACATTTGGGAGAGGCCTTTCGACTGCCAGAGCCCCCTCAGCCCAGAGTTGAGAGGCGTCAGAGGAGTCAGAGGCAGAGGGACCCTGAGCCAAGGGAGGCGAGACCATCTCGAGGAGGGCGAAAGGCCCTAGCTAGGAGAGAGGAGGAACCAGAGCCAGAGACCGAGGAGTGAGGCGCATACCCTGAGTGTGGGTTGGGACCAGTGGAGTTCCATCGGTTTGCCGAGGGTGGATTGAGGAGGTCGCCAGCACACACACAGGAGGAGCCGCCAGCGTCTGAGGAGCCTTTGAGGGAGTTAGAGGCGCATTTGGATATCTCTCAGTGGAGAGCATCGCCTCGGGGTGAGGAGCGTGGAGAGCAGGCAGAGGAGGTACCTCGAGAGGAGGTGCCACGAGAGGAGGTGCCACAGGAGGAGGTCCAGGACACTCAGCGAGAGAGAGGGTTGGGCAATGAGGAGAGGCGTGCAGGGAAGGAGGTGATAGAGGTTGGAGAGGACACGCCCCCTCAGACGCCAGCAGTGGGTTTGAAACTCGGGGATGCACCAGGGAGCACTCGCCAGGCAGGGGAGAGATTGTGGAGAGAAGAGGCCCCATTACCTTCATCAGAAAAGGCTTCTTCGCTAGAAGAGAGAGCAGAAAGGAGGAGTGAGAGGGCAGTTGTAAGGAGAGAAGCCTTGACCCTGATTGACAGACACCTAGCAGCTCATGCCCTGGAGCACCCAGACCTGGAAGAGCCAACACCTGCAGAGCCGCGCCAGAAGCCGTGCCAGCCCGAAAAGGAGATGGAGGCAGAGATCCCGAAGAGGGTTGACCTCCGCACGAGGGAAAGGGCGCCAGCTGGAGAGACAACAGAGGAAAAGAGGGCGAGAAGAACCAGAAGGATAGACGAGATATGGCAAGAGAGGCAGAGGTTGAAGGCAGCGGGGGAGCTTCCGGAGCAGCAGCAGGAGAGGCAGAGATCGGAGGCAGCAGGAGTACTCCCCGGTCAACCACCCAGCGCGCCAGCTAGGGCTCCGGAAATCCCTGAGATGTGGAGGGAATTTTGGGAGCAGAGAGGAGAGGAGCTTCCTTCGCCAGTCAGAGCCGAACTTGGGGTGGCAATGAAGGCAGAAGAAAGGTTGGATCGCAAAATCAAGTTCCTGACCAAGGCAACTTTTGACCGACACTTGCTATTGGAGAGCGATCTGGCAGGAAAGGAGATAAGGGAAGCAGGCCATGGGGTACGCCTGGAGGCTATGGAGGTGGAAATCCAATAACTCAGGGCATTGGTGGCCAGTCAGGCAGCTATCATCGAGAGCCTGAGGCAGCGATCTCAGGGAGAGGTGGACGAGCCAGAGAGCAGCCGACAGGGAGAGCAGAGGCGGCCAGGACATGGTTTGCCATGACAGCCATCGACAGTAGAGACTCGCCAGGAGCCACATATGGGGAGAGTCATTCTGGAGCCGGAGGAGGCGAGAGCTCAGAGGGAGGCAGAGAGAGAGGCCTTCGAGTTCAGAGCCCCTACTAAGCTCGCGACGCTACCTATAGCAGCGGAGGACCCAGTCATACCTTTGGCAGTTGAGGAGGGGCTACCACCATCGAGCAGTGAGCCAGCTCAGGGCTCAGCAGAGGGATCTATGAACGTGCTCATTGAGGTAGTGCATTCGATGCAGGAGGAGGCGAGTTTGTTTTCGCCTGAGCAGAGGATAGAGGAGCCTCTCAAGAGAGAGATGGGGATTGAGATGGAGGGTGTCATCGAGGGCGGGCTCCAGAGGTTGGGCACACCTGAGTATGGGCCAGGGAGGATTGAGGATCGACCAGGGCCGAGTACCCAGGAGATGGAGACAGGAGAGGAACCTTTGGATATGCCTTAGAGCCATGGGCTGAGCAGGGAGGCTAGCGAAGCACCATCGTCGCCAGGGTCTCAAAGAGGAAAGAAGAGGTCCAGGAAGTGGTTCGATACGTCCTGTTTCTTCTGTACAAAGGAGGGGCATCGAGCCTTGCAGTGTCCTAAGTTCCTGAAGGACAAGGCTGAAGGGAAGGTAACAGAGGAAGGAGGCAGGATGTATGATAGACAGGGCAAGAGAGTAGAGAGATCTGCAGATTGGGGTAGGGCTCAACTATATAGGCAAAACCAGGAGGAGATGAGCGACCAGGACTGAGTTTTCCTATATGGTTGACATGTTGCGTATAGGATTAGTGTTAAAATTGGATGACATTCTGTAGACCTAAGTGTTGTTTGCTTTTGTCAGGAAGTTTGAGTTGGGTTTTGTTGAGTCTGCCATCTTGAGGACCGGGACATGGTAGATGAGGCCTGTACATACTTAGGTGGCCTACGCCCTGATCTTTGAGAGACAGACTCAACTTGTACTTTGAGGACGACATCAGTGTGAGTGTGGTTTTGAGTGAGTTGAGTGGGTTACGATCTCGGGACATTTGTGTGTGAGACATTTTATCCCTGAGTGTATGTGGCAGGCATTTTATGTGGGACATTTTATCCCTGAGTGTATGTGGGAGGCATTTCATGTGGGACATTTTATCGCTGAGTGTACATTATATCGAGACATTTTTTGGGAACTACTTGTTGTATATGATGATCACTCTCACACTTTCTTGTGTGGTCCTGGTTTGATGGATGATGGTTTGGTGTGAAATATGTGTGAGAAAATACTTGATGTATCTGGTACCTTGTGAATTTGGATGCATATGAACTGTCTACTCGCCGGTATACTCGCGTGACCTGCCCATGGGTGGATGAGAGGGCCGAGTATAAGGCAAGGAAGCGCAGTCTGTTTTGTAAAAGGATGTGAGGATCCTGAACATTCGTATGGTGAGTATTCAATCATTGAGTTGTGCAAAAGACCCACAAGTTGGTCTTTTTATATGGTGTATATGATGAGTGGGACACCTGTGAATGGAAAGGTTGTCCATTATCTATTTGGAAAACGCATCTTCAGAGAGGGAAGATGCATTAGAGAAAAGGTCGCGAGAGAGTTCATCCTAGTGAGAGAGGGATGACTGAGACACCTATTAAGGTAAGACCTCCTCTATCAATAAGGTGGTTAAATACATTGATAAGTGAAAGGTTGACTGTGAGTAATAAGAAACTGACGAGAGGGACCAGATTTTGCTTGACTATTTGTGGAATTCTTGGATGTCGCAAATTATGTGTTTTAAGAGATGTCATCAAGATGTGTGACTTTCTTGATCTGATCAAGCTGGGAGGCCACGGCCTTGTGAACCAGGCAGTGATTTTGTTTTGAGATTGTGGAGAGGTTGCCATGCTTCCTCTGTGTTGTCCCACAGAGGGACTGGTAAATACCTTTATGTGCGACAGGTCTATGCGTAGTCCCACAGTAAGCCTGTATTGTTGCGACACACCGTCCGGTCGCTTGTGCTAATTTTGGACATTTATAAGAGACCCAGCAAGGGGTATAACTAGCATCACTAAGGCGCAACCCTTAGTGTTGGCCGCTGTTTGGCACAACCTGAGCAGAGGGTCTGCGTCTGGCCAAGGGAGTAAAGACTTAAAGGGGCGTGAACGCCTAGGAGGGTTTTACTCCTGCAGAGAGGCGTTGGATAAGAGTCGAGTCATACGAGTCTTTTGAGGAAGTCCTGATTGAATGCTTATCAGGAACAGCCTATCGTGGCGCAACCCAAGGCACTACCACTGAAATAACAATGCGGTGGGCCGTAGATCTAGAATGATCACCCAGACTATGGTGGGACAAGATGGAGACCTGGTCTTCCTGTACTAGACTGCAGGAGAGCTTATGTGAGAGTCTATGTGGTACGACTACGTGTCTTAATGTGAAGATTTTTGAGAGGAAGGTGAGAGAATGCCTTCGAAGATCTCGGTTAGGGTCCGCGCCCCTAGTCACGACTTCGTTTCAAGGGAAAGGGCTAGGGGCATACAACGAGAAGCCGACGATTGTCTAGGACACAGGGGAGAGGACAGTGAAAGATCCAATGAAACTTATGCTGTAGTAAAGTGAGGAGTATCCCGACGTCCGAGTGTCAGGGCGACGGAGACCCAGGTTAGAATCCTGGCAGCATAAAGTTGTGTTTGGCATGGATTATTGGAGGCCTCGACCCTGGGTCTGTCGGCAGATCGGATTGGTACCCTGCTCGTCAACATTTTAGGATTGTGATTGAATTGATAGCTTTTGATCCTGCGAAGCGACGAGGACGTCGCTTAATATGGTCCGGTAAGCTGTCGGTGCGAATACCCTTACAAGGGTATCCGCCCTGGTCTTTGCAAACAATGGAAAAACAGTTTGGCTTAAAGCGTAAGTATGCCATGCTAGGCACGGCCGCGTCTATAATTTATGTTGACTAGGTGGTTGACCAGAGTAAAGAGTACGTGGGCGCGCAAGTTTGAGGCGCTCGTGATTTTCCCTTCTTTTGGTTACACTTGCAGACGTGGCGTGGATTTTGGTCAGCATATGTCATTTTTGTTTTGATTGAACTGGTTAGCCTATAATGGGACCTGATGGATTTGGCTAAGGACGGGTAGCCGCGGCGAGACCGGTAGGCCGACGTGAGTTTTTGGGTAGTCCCTTGTGCAAGTATGGGCAGGGAAAGTGGTATAGGGCGTTTCCTTGGCCCCAAGGGCCGTGCGCTACCTCTCTATAAGGCGTGTCAGGCCTACTAATACCAGGCTTGGGCTTAGCCCTATAGGTTACAACACTGGACTGGTACACAGCAGACGCAGGGATCGAGGCCAACGGCGTGCGACAAGGGAGTGGAGGAGCGCGACGGAAAAGCTTGAGGGGTCTATGGGCCGGTAGGACTATCCCCCTCGCGTTTTGCTATCACGGGGACCACAACTTTCGCCTAATTACCGCATGCTTTGCGGTTCTTATATGTATATTATTTATTTCGAAGTTTTTTTGCTATTATCATTTATCTCACACCCATAGGTGGGCGCGAAATTGCGCAGGGGGTATGTTGTGGTCACAGGATTGCCTGCAGTGCAATTGCCAACTGTTTCCGGGGCTGTGCCACGGTGCCGTAGATGTGGCTGACACTTAAAGGCCCGGCTCAGTACGTATACCGATGAACTGTTGGAATACGGACCTATGGCCGAGTTCAGATGGTGGGACTTGGTGAGTAGAACCAACTATTTATGAATTGTCGGGCGGCCTTCGGAAACACCGTGGGGTACCTGCCGCTGGGGAGAATCCTTCGGGGCATCTGGGGGGATTGGGGCGACAAAAAGAGAGCTGGCAGGGTCCACCCGTAGGGGGCGGTACCAACGGTATATCCCCGAGCAGCGGACTATGGGTCCGCTACTGCCGAGGGGGACGGTAGCTGAGGGGACAAAGGAGGAGTCGGGGCACAAGCTGTTAAAGCTGGCCATGTATGTCAGACGCGCCCGCCTGAACATGGCCTCAAGAAGAGGCCAAGTCCACGCGAAGGTAGCGAAGAAAAATGGGGCGTGTGGCCTTCGGAGTCACTACGGGGCATTAACCCGGCCGGAGTCCTTCGGGACATCCGTTAAAATTGGAACGACACAGCAGCAGGTGCGCAGTCCGCCTCTCGTGACCTGCTGAGATAATTTTGAGTGAAGGCTTGCCCGACGGTGCCCGTGAGGCACGAGACGGGTCATACAGAGTTGTTGAAGTCCTAAATGTACCATTTCTGCGCCTTTTGTAGGCAGCTTGTGTGGCCGCGGGACAAGGGATTTCGCTGTCACCAACTTTTTGACCATTTGTAGATGGCGCCGTGGGACCAGCAAAATATCAAACCTTCACTGCTGCAGAAGGGCAGGGCTTCGTCCCATCGGAAAAAGGTGCAGCTGAGCAATGCGACCCAACCCATGCTTATGCAGACCCGCAAATGGTAAAACTCAGGAAACCAAGGGGGGGGGGGTTCTATTCACAAGCCTTCCATTCACAAGTTGTGTTTTTCAGATCTTTATACCCAATAAGAAGGGTGCCAAGTAGGAAAAGACTAGACGGCATGTGGGGCCTGAGGAGATGGTTCAGTCCTCCTTGCTGATTGGCCGGGCTAGTGCTCTTGGGAAGTCACAGTTGAGTTTAATCCCCAATAGGGCGGCGGACTGAGAATGCCCATGAGCAAATCAGCAGCTGGCCTCAGCCGGCATGCTCATGAACCACTGAGGCGCCAGCCTGAGTTTGAATATCAATAGAATTGATAAGCAAATGGGGTTGAAGGTGGCAGGCCTGCTAAATAGCTACGCTGGTTGGGATAGGAGTGTGACGCTGAGTTTTGATCCCAATGGGATCAACTGAGTAGGTAACCGGGTCGAGCATAGACTGGCCTAATGCGGTTGGTAGGGCCGCAGCCCACTGAAAATATAGACTG